AGGAAATTTGGGAACTTATGTTTTGCGCTGTCGGAATTGAGTTTGCCCACTAAATTATATAAAAATATTGTTATATACATACACTTGCAAAAATCATTAAATCAACGTTTTTGTTCGGCGTTATCGTTAACGTCTTCATATTAGCACTGTTCGTCGCCATAGTCAACAATAGCAACTTTTGGAAAGATAAATCTTGATCCAACCAATTGCAACTGTATAACGAGAAATTCATCGAGTTTACCTGTAACCAAACGAGATAGGTATTTTATGTCATACTAAAATATGTATTTTATAAATTTGACATTTTCGTTTTTACATATCGCAAAGGAACGATAGGCAAAAAACAAATCATTATGATACTATAGTGTCCAAGAAAATTGTATTATAGGTGTGATATTGTAAAATAAATTAAAATTAACCTGATGGTCCACAAGTCCGCAAAACTTAGTTAAGATGAACAACCTTAGTACGCCGTACATCGCGGTACAAAAATATTTCATAGACAGTACCGACATAATCGGCATGCCGTCAAAATAATTCTGTTAAATGTTTATTACATATCAGCGTACTAATACAAAGACAATAATTAAGTATAACAATATTTAAGTATATTACCGCTACATAGGCATATGTAAAACAAATGAATATGCAAGCAGAAGTTCCAAGCTGACATACTATTATGGGCCGAATAGTATCGAACAACTCTCTCATTACACTGAAAAAACCAACGAGAAAAATGTATAATAAATAAAGCGAGACCCCTTCCATCTTAGCTGATATCAAATGTGGTATAGTAATAACTTAACTCACGATATGACTTTGGCGTGATCCGAAATAATCATTTTGAATTGTTTGATTAACATTGCCGATTTGTCTGAATTACAAGTGAACGCTGTTGATGAAAATTATCGGTTTAGGAAGTATAGAAAAACAATACTCTGGTGTGTAGATATTTAATTAATGCGGGCACATACTTTCAGTTGTTTCCAATCCCAACGAGCTATACGCCAAAGCGATCGTTTTCAGATGCGCTACAATTGACCAGCAAAAAATAACGAGCACCGAGTCGAATAGCACATAGCAAAAAGAACATTGCGTTAATACAATGGCTTCGATAATGTAAACAATCGGAGACAATTTGTTGTACGTGCCGACGTTCAACGGATATAGCAAAATGTTGAGAACGCTGCTTTTGTAAGTCACCGTGTCGCCCTGTAGATTTCGTACCGTATAATCAATGCTAAACGCCGGGTAGATAAAAAAAATCAAAAGTATCGCGAAACTCAGTGTCGCGTATATGTCTGTGATAGTCATCGACTTGTTTTTGTAATACTTCGCTGTGCTCGTCTTGTAATGGCGGTAGGACGAGAAATCGTCGCGCATTATGTCGAAACATTTCCAAATGACTTGCGATCTCTGACCTACTCGGATGACGTTCAAAAACGTGTTGAAACCGCCAACGAACAGCATCCAACAGTTCAGCCACTGGTTAAAGTCGTTGGTCCAACCGACGAGTCCGGTCACGCAGAAAATCAAAAATGTCCCGTTGAATATTGCCGCTAAAATATGAGCCAATCGATAAAGATTACACCCCCCCAACGTAATCGCACCGTCTGTTTCAATTGGATTCAGCACTTGATACAGTCCGGTTAACTTTAACAATCTCACGTTTGTGATAAACGATTTGTCTTCGTTTTTGCGGGTAGCCATTTTTTTTTTATTCGGTGATATCTAAAGAAAAATTTGGTATAGAATTCATGCAGCAAACTAACCGATAATATTTTCACTGTAATTTTTAACAATTTTTGTCCTATTCACACGTGACTGGTCGATAACCAGTTTTAGGTAACCATTTTTTAAGTTATTGCAGATTCGAGTTTAAAGGCTGGAGAAAGATTGTGAATAGTATAATTTTTATCTGTGCGCACTACCCGCCTGTACTTCCCCTTCCTGCTTAACTTTTGAACTCATAAAACTGTAAAAATAGTTGTTCAAAATTATAACTGGTTGTTCATCAGTCAAAATGTTTAGTACATTATTCTCAATGTAATAAGTTAATGAAATGTATGCGTCACCATTTAAGTATCAAAATAAAGAAAACGAAATAAAAATTATGGTTAATTGAGATCACGTTGTATAAAAACAATACAAAAAAAATGTAATTTCTTTTTAAACCCTATGAGATATTAAGCGGTTTTGGATAAAAATGATCACCTGTACAACTACAAATGTATAAAACATATTCTATATCACATGAACATATTTTGTTTGTTAGAAATACGTTACTTTCACGAGATCAGGAGATAATTCCAGAATTACTCGAGCTTGAACTTTGAGAGCGAACTTGCAACGAGTAACAATGTATCTATGTGGCCGACAAGCATAGAATGCATAAAGCAAAGATTGACAAACGGCCAACCCAACATAACGAGCAGGAGTAAAAATAGTAATTAATCGTTATCGTGTATGATGAATAAGAAATGTGGTAAAAAAAGTGGAAAAGTGCATTGTTACTCGTCGATAGACGGTAATTACAAGTTTTAATATTTAGTTTCATGCATGTACAATAATAATATATTGAAATAAAGCTGGCGTGGTGGGTGCATATTTTAGCATTAGGCAAGCGGCACTTGCCTTCATTTTTTAATATATAATTTTTTAATTATAGTTTTCTGTAAGGCCATATAAAATATTCATCTTAATTAACCCTTGGGAAATTTTTTCCGATAATTTTAGATGCGGTGTATTTATTATTTAGGCATTTCCTGTCGGTCGGTAAATCGATGAACTAGAAAAAACCAAAATCAAAAATTGATAACTGACCTGGCTGTTATAGTTTAGCAATGATCGACAAACCCAACAATACGAATAGGAGCAATAAAGGCCAGATTAGCTTGCTCGTGTTTGATTAATACAAAATATGGCAAAAATGAACTTGAAAAAGTGGAGTTAAATTATTTTGAGTTCCAAACTTGTATTAACTATTCAGTGATGGACGATAATTATAGGATTAATATTTATTTTATTTTCACGATAAGTATTCTAAATAAAATGTTGTGAATAACTTAATAAAACATTACATTTAACTTTTTTATAACCAACACAGCGAGGATAGAACATAGGCCTTAGAAGGAATGAGGAGATTAGACAGCTATTTGCTTTATAGGAATTGATAGTCTAACTGTTAGTGATATAATTTGAATAATTTTTAAAATGATAGTTTTTAACTGAACGCTAATTATTAGACACTAAAAAAAGTAAATATTTTTAGTGATTATAGGTCAATCTCCATTTGTATCTACGGGGAATCACTACGGTTACCAAATAATGTATATGCATTTATTCAACTTGCAAGATAATTCACATGAGTAAATATCTTTTAAGCAAAACAACTCCAATGAAAAACTACATTTTCATGGGTACATTTTGTGTTGTTTTAGTTTGGTTTATTTACTATAAATCAACAAATGTTATAAACGGTAATAAACATTATTACAACCGCGAACACACGCAGCCCCTCGTGTGCGCCAGAACTTTTCAGGTATAATAATTTAACTAAGAAACATATTTTCTTTGTTTATATTGTTTTCTAGATAACTATTGAACAATTTAATGCATTTTGTAATAGTAACATTTTCAGGTTATTTAATGTAAAATTACTTCTCTAATTATGACTCTAGCCTTGCTCTTCACAAATGTCTGTTTTATGACATTCACATTGGGAAGAACCAATGAATTGGATCCATTAAAGGTAATATTTATTTACTGATATAATTCCCAATATACTCGCTCAGTGAGAAATTCAGAAGTTTCAGAAGCTAAAAAATTGTTCTTCTTTTCTCGTGTCTTGTTAAAAGCAAAAGCTTCATATACTTAATTTTGTTAAACCTGTAATCACTACATAAATATTAACATTTTTAAAACATTATTTTCATTATACTTGCTATTATATTTAAACAACATCACTTTGTGGCACCAATCGTATCTCGTGCTTAACGTGGCATCCAAGTACTTACAGTCTTTAATTATTTTTTACTGTTTGCTCTTCTCATCATCGTGGTCATTAAAAATGATTTCTTTTTTTTTTAAATTACCTCAGTTTTATTTCGTTACGTTGTCCATCCTCGAGCTATATTTGTTGTGTCCACTTAAAATTCTACTGATGTATCTAGATCACCTGCGTGTCCTGGAAACTATTCTGGATTATTATAGCACCAATAATTATTTCATCTGTCTATAGTTCTACAACTACTATTTCTTTAAGGCAAGGATAAACAATACCGGGGACAGGGCAATCTAATCTCAACTACATATTACTTACCTAATATCCACATTAACAATGTTCATCACATTTCCAAACCTATTAAAACTATAAGGGTAGATAATTTTAAAGGAACCCGAATTCAGGCAATTTGTAAGCAGTAAATTAATTTGTTACGTACAATCATTTTTAGTATGAGAGAATGTGAATGACTGTCCCTATTTGTTTGTATTAGTATAAGTTAAATAAGAAAATAAGAGGAACATTGTAAAGGTAAGAGGAGCATTTGACATCTAAACGATTTGATACCCGGTGATTACACTCACCATAAAGTTGAGTCTTGAGATTACTTTCTAATGTACATATTGTAATTTTAGACAGCTACAGTTTGTAACTAAGATCCTAATTTAAGTGCATTTTTTTTCTTTAGTTACAGACAAGTACGGATTGGGTGTCCAGTGAAATCATTTACGACAAAGATTTCCTTGATGTTATTAATGAATTCACCGTAGTTTTCCATTTCAGTAGCGCCTTAACCGTTTCTTCCTCATTTCTACGCTTTACGTGACCAATATATTGTATCCGCTAGCCACGTATAAACCTACTGGCTGGTGCTAGTCCCAACTCTTCTAGCTATTAACTTATATTAATTTTTTAGGCCATTGAAATGGAAATAAACAGACCAGACGATTCGGAATATTCATATTTTGACCTAATGAATTGGTTATATTTTTTTGAAATGGTTAAAATTAAAAATTGTGGTTATTTGCTAAAGTCGGCTGATGATACTTTTCCGGTAATATTAGTATAAAATATAATTTAAAAAGCATAAATATTAACCGTTTTGTTTAATTTCAAGCATCAAGTTAAGAAAGTATTGATGGAAAGAGAGTGGTCACCTAAGCTTGTTGATGATCTTGTTAAAAAATATAATCTAAGCAACTGGCCCCCTGGTATATCAGACGAGGAAATATGTAATAAGGAAAAGGAGAGGCTTATAAAGAACTACATTTGTAGACGTATTCCGGGTTTCCTCGAAGACAATCAAGAAGAAGCAGTAATCGTGTTAGCTGCTGATAACCCGCATATGCCTGCTGATACGATCGCTGAACCTGGATTTTTGATGTTTTTAAAAAAGGGAGCGTTGTATTATACTAATGATGATAAACTTAAAGGTTTAGAAAAATGCTTCGATTTTGTAGAAGTTCTTAGATGGGATTTATTGATAACATCACCTGATAACTCCCTTATGGTAATTTTTTAATAAAAAAAAAAAATAATAAAATAAAATAATAACCGTTGTTTTCATTTAAAGGAGAGCGCTCATCATCAATTGATACGGGAAAATTGGCTCCGTAGGCATGTGGACGCTATTACTGGAAGATATAGTCAAAGTAGCTGGCCGTCTGGTATATCAGGAACACAACTAAATGATTACGCAAAGAGGAGTCTTATAAAACATTATATTTGTAGACGTATTCCGAGTGTTCTCAGTGGCAATCAAGAAGAAGCAGTAATCGTGTTCGCTTCTGATAATAAGCATATGCGTGCTGATATGATCGCTCATCCTGGATTTTTGATGACATTCAAACCGGGAGCATTGGATTCTTTAGGTTATGATGAATTCAAAAGTGTGCCAGATACCTTAGAATCAGTACAAATTAGTAAATGGGATTTGTTGCTAACGTCGCCTGACAATTGTTTATGGGTAATTTTTGCATAAAAAACGTATTTGATTAAAAAAAAAATTAACCTCTGTTATCATTTTAAGGACCGCGTGAATTCACTATTATTTAAAAGAAAAATTCCATATCGACTTACGAGGGCTATTTTAGAAAGATATAGTAAAAAAAACTGGCCACTTGGTACATTAAGTGCACTATTACAACATGACAAAGAAAAGAAGATGCTTTTAAATAAATATGTATGTAGGCGTGTTCCGGGTATTCTTAGTGATAATAAAGAAGAAGCAGTAATCGTGTTCTCATCTGATAATACCCATATGCCTGCTGATATGATTGTTAAGCCAGGATTTTTGATGATATTCAATCCGGTAGCGTCATCAGTCCAGCAATCTTTTAAAAACATTTTGCTATCACCTTTTACGAGTCGTACTTTAAAATAATTAAATTTATAATGCTTTAAATAATTTAAAAGTTTACTAATACTGTATACTGTATAGTTTTATGTAATCTTCCATTAAATATAAATTAAAATCACATACATAATTTAGAAATCATTACTTTTTTGCATGTTAAAAAAAAAAACAAAGCCTTATTCGTTGTAAAGAAATACTTTATCAGATATCCGAATTTCAAACAACAGGTTTTTTAATAAAAACAATTATTCGCGGTCTTTTAACCTACTCAATGTTAAGAGGTAGGGATATGTTTTTTCATTATTATTTTTATTGTTTAATTTTTTATCGTTGTGTAAAATTAATATTTAATAATATATTCCGATAAAACATCCAACTGTTATTCTAAATATTTGTTTTATAAAAATGAATACTTCAATACAATATTTTTAATATTAAATGAATATAAAGCTTATTATTTTGTAATGTGTAATAAATTATAACATAGTAGTAAATTCTGCTGATAATGACGTAATTATACTTTTTTGATAATTACATTTGAATAGTTCTAAATCAATAGTTTTATTATTATTATTAAATTTAAGTAACTCTAAATATTATAAGGTTATATACTAAGTAAACAAAGTATATACTTATTATGGTATAAAACAAACCATGATGTTTGAGGCAAAAAACAGTTAAACTACTAAAAAGCGCTAATTTTATATTCCGATTTCAGAATATTTGTTTCGCTAATATCTTATTCAATTAGAATTTATAAAATAATGACTTTTTCACAAAAATAATAATAATTTATTATATGATGATTATATTTTGAATATAATTTGCTAGAATGAGTTTAGGTTAACACATGAACAGAAACTATTTATTAAGCGTCAGTTTGCAAAATTAGCTAAGAAACAATACAATATAAATGTACATATAATGACCAATTAAATGTGTATAAAATAACATGCAATACCTACACAATTAATTAACGTGTAATATAATTGACTTGTGCTAGCTTAGGTAAAGAAGTCTCTTTTGCATGTCAGATCCAATTTAAATAAACTCTTTAGCTCACTTCTTACAATTTTATACTATGTAATTAAACGTTACCTTGCAGAAGCTGAGGTTTCCACTGAGCCACACCATGCCTCCAAAATAAAATCGTTTAACTTGTTATTTCCAAGAAAATCAAATACTAAATAGCAATTTTGACGTAACTAAGTTATCAACTTTTTGAGCGTGAGAAATCAATTGGGCCCACCCCTAAAACAAAATCCTGGCTACAACAGTTGTTTTAATTAAGGTGAAATTAAGCCAAGGGTTACTGAGCTTATATTATACCAATAGATTGCTTCACATCATCATTGTCAATGATAAATAATTGTTTTTGGGAGTTTAGAATTTTAGCAGTAGTAACATATGTGTTATCTACAGACTGTATGTATCCAGGTACTAAGATCGTCTATTTTTAAATATCATACAGTAACCTTTTTTGAAAAAAAGACTAGTGTATTATAAATGTTAAGTACAAAATCATATATCTGCAACATAGCTTCAAATACAAATAATACCATACGATATTTTACGGTGTTTTGTTTATCAAAAACAAGTATTTTTTTTATCATATTTTGTTTTGTTATATTTGTGTGGGTACCTGTTTAATGTTTGAACAAAAGTTTGCCTAAAGTTAAAATATAAATTCTGAGGGGGGAAAAAAGGAACCACCAAGTTTTGAAAACGACCAAGTTATTAAAAATTCATCCGTTATAACGGAAACTAAAACTACAGTGCCTTTTGAATACAATAAAACCGATTATCTGACACATAAATTTATAAAATACACTAACGTTCTCTATTCCAAATTAAAGCCCCTCGATGTATGCTATGTTAATTTTTTTTATAAAGGAAACGAAGAATTAAACGTGACGTTTTTCCCTAGCACAGAAATACGGCTCCCGAGTACAAGGGACTAATCCAAGACCAGAAGGAACCCCGAACTCATGTTTCAATTGTTTGAAGTTATTCAAAGCTTATAATATTTGATTATATTATTAATTTAATAATAAATTCTTATGTACTAGTACTAGTTAGTTGTATACTATGTAAGCATTAAAAAAAACACAAACCACAAAACCGACGAATACAATTCAAAAAACAACTTGTTATCGAAAAAAAAGACCATATAATATTATGTTATATTATTTGTAAATTTTGGATAACGCGAAATAGATTTATTATAAATATTGTATTTTAGAGCTATAAAAATTGTTTTTGTACAACATTACAGTTATTATCGACAACAAGTATTTGTCATTTGTTTACGTTACAACAGACATTCTAGAAAACTACTAGGTTTTTGTTTTTAATATAATACAGAAATGTCAACAAAATAATACATATTAAAAATGTATTATTTTTTGTTTTAAATAACTTACAGGTGCAATTCTTTTACATTTTGTATTGTATAGTTTTTACACTAAATTAAAAAATAAAATAATTTGACAAAAAACTGAGTAAACCCAATTAAGAGTATCCACACTTCGTGTAGATACATCAATACACGGATTTGACCTAATAATTATATGATTATTTCAGATCTACAACCTCCTTGTCATATATGATGATAATATAGTTGTTCTTGGATTAAAGTGGTATCCACAAGTCGATTCTCTCAGCTACAAGTACCGACCAAATTCGGTAAAATTCAGTAAACGAGCCATACTATCCGAAATCGCGAGAATATACGATCCACTCGGACTCCTCTCGCCAGTTTCTACGGATCTGAAAAGATTAATAAAATATCTTTTCTGGATTTTCAGTGTCAACTCGTAGATACACTGCGGCTGCATACGCTGCTTCCGAGGCGTCACTGAATCCATGTAATCCGTACTTAGCGTTTGGACGAGTTACCATGCGGGGAATTTGTAAGGAAGCTAACAAAGGTAGTTCTTGGTGATACTGCTTCCAAGCTGTTGCCGCATCTTCGGGTATCGGTTCGTCCCAGTCTACTTTTACTAACCAAAGATATTTTGTTAATCTTTTCAGATCCGTAGAAACTGGCGAGAGGAGTCCAAGTGGATCGTATATTCTCGCGATTTCGGATAGTATGGCTCGTTTACTGAATTTTACCGAATTTTGTTGGTACTTGTAGCTGAGAGAATCAACTTGTGGGTCCCACTTTAATCCAAGAACATGTGTATATTCTGATTCGTGTTCTTTGAATGTAACTGGTGTGGGTAGTGGCAGCCCAAGTAATTCCCGAACAATAGTCTTAATTGTAAAATGTTCTGGCCAAACGTTTTTTAGTAGTATTAAAATATCTGGCCTTAATCGACTTACTGGCTCTCATAATTAAATTTCCGTGGTTTGCCAGTAAGTAAGTAAGTAAGTGTCTACCTAACAAATTAATTTGACTATCCTTATATCCTAATATATCCTTATATATGTATCCTGCAACTTGATGTATCTACATGAAAAACAAAACTTTTTTTTTGATTCATAATCATTTCATCATTCTAGTTAATATGTAGCAAACTTCTGTACTATCTATTCTCGCACAATTACTTTTTATTGACTTCGTATTATTCATTTTGAATTACGAAAAAATTTGATTTTAAATAGTATTTATATGTTTTTCAATTTAAGTATTGATACATTTTTCAAAAATGTTTGTGTTTTCTTAATGTATCATACATTCATAGATCGTTGTAATTTATATAAATTAATTGAGTTATGTATTATTTATTTTTGTGTTTATCAAATAAACAATTTTATTTTTGCCTCACATTTGATTCCAATAGTCCTATCATATACACCCACCAAATTTAAAAAATATTTACTTAGCACTATGTATGAAATATTTAAAGATTAAAAATATAAAATACAGAAATGAATATGTTAGAATTATTTTAAATAGAAATCGTCAGAAATTGAAATGCTCCTGGGGAACGAGTCCTCTTAAATGACTTATAAGTACATGAGCAGAAAGATATTTTGCACGTGTATTATTCAAATAACATGTTTTCGTATTAGACTAAAAAAATATGAAGGCGAACTAAATACGAATTTTATCGATTTGAATAAACATACAAATCAACAGATATATTGTTACTAGTACAAATTTTATTAAAGCGATACCAAATAGTCTGATTTAATATACTATAGGAATGCTTGTTGATAAGATACTTACGAATAAACAAGTTTATACTTAACAGCAAAAATATATTTCAAACCTTGTGAACCATATAAATCGTATAATAATAGTGTTCCAGGAACAAATTCTAAATATCGTACCAAATGACATAACTTAACATCAACATGTTCTTAATTAACCTATGTTACAAGTTTAAACTTACAATTAGTGAAGCTATCGGGGTATTTATTTTTTAATTTGACATTTTCATGTCTTAGCTCTGGCAAGTGACCGAAAAAAGTGTTACCAAAAAAGCGTTCTTTACAAAAACGTTACCAAAAATAATAAAACAATTTTCAGCCGAGCCTGCAACCAAGATAGAATATTTTAATGTCTCCTTGAAGTACCGAATAAATTCCGGATAAATACGTTAGGTTAGGTTAGCGAATCACACAAGTCGAAAGGTTACAAAAAGGTATAATTGACGAAAGTTACTCAGCATTACTACTCCTAGTATCTATGGTGGCTAGTATATAATACATATCAAGTTTTTGGCTAATATTGTAGTGTTTAATATCTGGCTTAAAGCACATCCTAGAGAATTTGGGCCCTTAAACTATTTTGAATTTATCATTTAGTTCTAATTTGAACGTTGAACGTACAAAATATCCCCTATCTTCCACCGCAACTGAAAAATAAATTCAATGTAATTTAACAGGCCTTATTTCCTATGAATTGTTTAAGGCCAGATAATATGAAATCATTAAAATATGAGCCAGAAACTTGATATGTTTACTAGCCACCTTAGATACTAGCTCACTAATATACTATTCCATTATCTATAATTCCACCACTACTCTAAATTTATTCGGTACTTCAACGAGACAAGAAAATGCTCTTTCGCGGTTGCAGACTCGGCTGAAAAACATTTATTAATAAATTCTTACAGACAATGTCCAATTTAAAATTGAACTAACCTAACCTAAGGCAATTAAACTACGGTAGAACATGACACACTAGCATGACATGCTAGTGTAGAACTTTTCTACATTAATAACAACTGCAATGATGCAATCATTATGAATCATAAATAAAGTTTTTTTCTGTTCTAAACATAATACAGATACATCAAGATGCAGGATATAAGGATTTTTGTATAATATTGGTAATAATGTTCTTTTTGTTTCAATTTCTGTTTATACAAAAATAAGCATTCGTTATTCACAATGTGTGGTGTAACGTAAACAAATGACTAATACGTGTTGTTATTATTATATACTTTTAAGTTTAAACATTATAAGAACTGTAATGTTTTACAAAAACAATTTTCATAGCTCTAAAATACATTATTTATGATAAATCTATTAATTCTGTCCTGTGTTTTTGAAATGTATGCTTAGTATAGACCTCTAAGGCCATCAGGTTTTAAGTCATTTTCAAACTTTTCTATAAAACCGTTTACACTGAAATCTGAAAACCATACATTTATTTAAGCTGACATACTTATTTTACACACGTAAATGTGTTAAATGACTATATATTGTTAATGTTTGGTTAATAAATGCCTATATGAGCATTCATACTAATTCAATAGCAAAACAGTTTTATCGTACATTACCATATTTAGCGTTATAGCATAAAACGTTTTGTAGAGATTGAGTAAAGTTGAAACTTCTGTTTAGTTAATAATAGTTTTTAGAGTTTTGTTTTTTACAACAGCACAACAATGCACGCTGTCATACATCGGTCAATTGTGACATTTTACCTGTGTTGGAATTTGGTTAATTCCCATCCATCTACATCTACAAGCAAGGTAAAACTAAAGTAACAATTTTTAAAAACTCCAAACCGAGTGATTTATTTTTCAACTTACTTACTACAGCGTTAGATACATATTTGACACCCTTAATAGTAGAATAATGGCTTAGTTTTTTAATTTTAAGAGAACATCCATCAATTGTCACATTATCCCTGTGTTGAACTTAGGATAAGGCCAATTTTTTTAAATTTTCAAACGAAGTAAATTTTTTTCCTACTTATTTACAATACCATTAAATCATCTTACTTTGCGCTGAACCCACTGTAATAGCTTTTAAGAGGGAGGGGTAAAATAAAAAATAAATCACTTCTAGACAATTTAAATTTGGGGCATTGTTCAAGTAAATGGTCATCTGTTTAAAATATTCCTTGTTAAACACAATGTACAGAGTGTCTAAAAAAAAATGGTGGGGTTTAAAACAGCTGTAGGTTGTGAAGTATTCGATCTACATTGTTCTGGTAGGGCTTGAATGAAAAAGAGAGTTGTCAAGTTTCCAATGATTAGTACTCGATCTTTCACAGTCGTAACTGAATAACGCTTTGCGAACTCGATAACTTCTGTTGTACGGGTGCTATCTTAACAAACTGAACATTGAAGGCTGGCGACTCAAACGGGAACGTGGAGAGACATTAAGTGACAGTCATTCGAAATTTGACAATATATTCTTTCATTCTAGCCCTACCAGAGCGCTGTAGGTCTAATACTTCACAACCTACAGCCGTTTGGAATCTCACCATTCTTAACCCAACCATTATTTTTAAAACACCCTGTATAGCATACAAAAATTGAAATTTTCCAAAGAACAGGACGACTTTTTCATCTTCTTCTGCTCGCATTTATTACTCTTTAAGAGTTTTCGCTGCCATCACGATCTGCCTCCATTATGAATGTTATGAGTGTTATCGTTATCCACTCTAGTACTCCTAGTTTCTTAAAAATTCCTTCCATCTCTTACTAGGCCACCCGCAAAGTCTCTTCCTTGTAATTTTCCATTTCAGTACCGCTTTAACCGTTTTTTCCTCATTTCTACGCTTTACGTGACCAATCTATTGTATTCACTGGCCACGTATAAAGCTACTGACTGGTGCTATTTCCAACTCTTTTAGCTATTAACTTTTATTGATTATTTAGGCCACTGAAATGGAAATAAACACACCGGATGGTCCGGAATATTCATATAATGACCTAATGAATTGGGCATATTTTTTTGAAATGGTTAAAATTCAAAATTGTGGTGATTTGCTTAAGTCGGCTGATGATACTTTTCCGGTAATATTAGTATAAAATATCATTTTAAAAATATAATTATAAACCGTTTTGTTTAATTTCAAGCATCAAGTTAAGAAATTATTGATGGAAAGAGAGTGGTCACCTAAGCTTGTTGACGATCTTGTTAAAAAATATAATCAAAGCAACTGGCCCCCTGGTATATCAGACGAGGAAATATGTAATGACGAAAAGGAGAGACGTATAAAAAATTACAATTGTAGGCGTATTCCGGGTTTTCTCAAAGGCAATCGAGAAGAAGCAGTAATCGTGTTAGCTATTGATAACGTGCATATGCCTGCTGATACGATCGCTGAACCAGGGTTTTTGATGTTTTTAAATCAGGGAGCGTTGTATTATACTAATGATGATAAACTTAGAGGTTTAGAAAAATGCTTTGATATTGTAGAAGTTCTTAGATGGGATTTATTGATAACATCACCTGACAATTCCCTTATGGTAATTTTATAATAAAATGAAATTGTAAAAAACTAACCGTTGTTTTCATTTAAAGGAGAGCGCTCATCATCAATTGACACGGCAAAATTGGCTCCCTAGAAATGTGTATTCTATTATTGGAAAATACAGTCAAAATAACTGGCCATCTGGTATATCGGGCACACAATTACATGATGGCGAAAAGATGAGTCTCTTAAAAAATTACATTTGTAGACGTATTCCGAGTGTTCTCAGTGGCAATCAAGAAGAAGCAGTAATCGTGTTCGCTTCTGATAATATGCATATGCCTGCCGATATGATCGCTCATCCTGGATTTTTGATGGCATTTAAACAGGGAGCATTGTATTCTTTAGGTTATGATGAATTCAAAAGTGTGCCAGATACCTTAGAATCAGTACAAATTAGTAGATGGGGTTTGTTGCTAACGTCGCCTGATAATTATTTATGGGTAATTTTTGCATAAAAAACAAATTTGATTGAAAAAAATAGTAACCACTGTTATCGTTTTAAGGACCGCGTTAATTCTCTATTATTTAAAAGAAAAATTCCATATCGACTTACAAGGGCTATTTTAGAAAGATATAGTAAAACAAACTGGCCACTTGGTACATTGAGTGCACTTTTACAATATGACGAAGAAAAGAAGATGCTTTTAAATAAATATGTATGTAGGCGTATTCCGGGTGTTCTCAGCGATAATCAAGAAGAAGCAGTAATCGTGTTCGCTTCTGATAATACGCATATGCCTCTTGACATGATTGTTGAGCCAGGATTCTTGATGATGTTCAATCCGGTAATGTTATCAATCAGCAATGTTGTTGACAATTTTTTCTATCACCTTTTTAGAAATCTAACGTTTTAATAATATAATTTATAACGTTTAAACAATTTGAAAGTTTCATAATACTGTATATTGTATGGTGTTCAGATAACTTGCAATCAAATATAAAGTAAAAACACTTTTCTATTATTTTGAATTTTTTTATGAAATCGAGGAACACTATTAATATGTTTAAAAATATGCAAATGAGTAATAAATTTGCACGGAAAATTCTTTAAAATTAGTAAATTGTTAGTAAACAATTTACGTAAAACAAAAAAATGTAATTCTTTCACCCAAAAAGAATAAGAAGTTACATACTTGACACTCTTATAAGAAGGAAACTAGTTTATTATTTTATTTATTGTTTACCAATGATTATATTAATGGTCATCTGTTTAAATTATTCCGTGGTACATTAAACACAATGCATAGTGTATTAAAATCTAATTTTATGAGAGAACATGAAGAATATATAGTATTTTTTTTTTCTTTTCTATATTGGAAATTCTCCATACACATTTTGGTTAGACCTATCAACTTCATTGAGATACCATACTCCATCCATTATACAGAATCTCCGATGCACAAAAACAGAACGACTATTTAGTATTTTTCCGTCCGTTAACTTAAAATAGATTTTTATTCAGTATTCCTTTTTGATAATTATTAACGTAAGATCGATAATTTTAGGCAATTAATATGGAAATTGACAGACCGCACTTTTCCGATTATTCAATACATGACCTAATGAAATGGGTATATTATTTTGAAAAAGTTAAAATTCAAAATTGTGGTTATTTGCTAACGTCGGCTGATGATTCTTTTACGGTAATATTAGTACAATACATCATTTTAAAAATATAAATATTAACCGTTGTTTTAATTTCAAGCATCAAGTTAAGAATGTATTGATTAAAAGAATGTGGTCAACTCAGCTTGTGGACGAACTTGTTGAAAAATATAATCTAAGTACCTGGCCATCTGGTATATCGAGCGAGGAAATATGTAATGATGAAAAGGAGAGACGTATAAAAAATTACAATTGTAGGCGTATTCCGGGTTTTCTCAAAGGCAATCGTGAAGAAGCAGTAATCGTGTTAGCTATTGATAATCCGCATATGCCTGCTGATACAATCACTAAACCAGGATTTATGATGTTTTTAAATCCGGGAGCAATGTATTATAGTAATGATGATGAATTTGAATGTGCAGAAAATTGCTTTGATATAGTTGAAGTTCTTAGATGGGATTTATTGATAACATCACCTGACAATTCCCTTATGGTAATTTTATAATAAATTGAAATTGTAAAAAATTAACCGTTGTTTTCGTTTAAAGGACAGCGTTGATCATCAATTGCTACGGCAAAATTGGCCCCGTAGTAATGTAGACGCTATTACTGGAAGATATAGTCAATGTAGCTGGCCATCTGGTATATCGGGCACACAACTACATGATGGCGAAAAGATAAGTCTATTAAAAAAATACATATGTAGACGTATTCCTAGTGTTCTCAGTTGTAATCAAGAAGAAGCAGTAATCGTGTTCGCTTTTGATAATACGCATATGCCTGCCGATATGATCGCTCATCCTGGATTTTTGATGGCATTCAAACCGGGAGCATTGTATTCTTTAGACTTTGATGAATTTAAAAGTGTGCCAGATACCTTGGAGCAAGTAGAAGTTCTTAGATGGGATTTGTTGATAATGTCGCCTGACAATGATTTATGGGTAATTATTGCATAAAATAACGAATTATAAAAAAAATTTAACCGTCGTTTTCGTTTAAAGGACCGCGTTGATTATCTACTGGGGAAAATAGATTTTCCATATCGACTTACGAGGGCTATTTTAGAAAGATATAATATAAATAGCTGGCCATCTGGTATATCGGGTACACAATTGCAATATAATGAAGAAAAGAAGATACTTTTAAATAAATATATATGTAGGCGTATTCCGGGTGTTCTCAGTGATAATAAAGAAGAAGCGTTAATCGTGTTTGCTTCTGATAATACGCATATGCCTCCTGATATGATTGTTGAGCCAGGACTTTTGATGATATTCAATCCAGTAAAAATATGTTTAAGCAATGTTGTTGAGAACATTTTGCTATCACCATTTACGAGTCTTACTTTAAAATAATTTAATTTGTAATGCTTTAAATAATTTAAAAGTTTATTAATACTGTATACTATATGGTTTTATGTAATCTTCCATTAAATATAAATTAAAATCACATACATAATTTTAATATCATTACTTTTTTGCATGGTAAAAAAAAAACAAAGCCTTATTCGTTGTAAAACAAATACTTTATCAGATATCTATATTTAAAACAACAGGGTTTTAAATAAAAACAATTATTTGTGGTATTTTAATCTACTCAATGTAAAGAGGTAGGGATATGTTTTATTGTTTCAAATGTTTAAATTTGTATCATTGTGTAAAATTAAAATATAATAATATATTCCAATAAAACATCCAACTTAATTATTATTCCAAAGATTTGTTTTATAAAAATGAATACCGTAATACAATATGTTAAATATAAAATGAATATAAAGTTTATTATTTTATGATGTGTGATAAATTATAACATAGTAATAAATTCTGCTGATAATGATGTAATTATACTTTTTTGATAATTACATTTGAATAGTTCCAAATCAATAGTGTTATTATTATTATTAAATTTAAGTAACTCTAAATATTATAAGGTAATATACTAAGTAAACAAAGTGTATACCTATTATGGTGTAAAACAAACCATGATGTTAACCGTTGTTTTCATTTTAAGGAAAGCGCTGATCATCAATTGATACGGAAAAGTTGGTCCCGCGGAAGTGTGGACGCTATTACTGGAAGATATAGTAAAAGTAGTTGGCCATCTGGTATTTACCACGAGGTAATATGTAATTGGGAAAATGAGAGACCTATCAATAATAACAATTTTAGAGGTATTTTGGGGTTTCTCACTTGCAATCGAGACGCAATGGGAAGTCTATTAAAAAAATACATATGTAGGCGTATTCCGGGTGTTCTCAGTGATAATCAAGAAGAAGCATTAATCGTGTTCGCTTCTGATAATACTCATATGCCAGCTAATATGATTACTGAGCCAGGAATTGTGATGATATTCAATCCAGTAACAGTATATTTCAACAATTCTGTTGAGAACATTTTGCTATCACCTTTTACAAGTCTTACCTTAAAATAATTTAATTTCTTATACTTTAATTAATTTAAAAATTTCTTAATTCTGTACACTGTATAGTTTTAAATTAACTTCCATGAAATATAAAGTAAAATCACATACATAATTTTAAAATCATTACTTCTTTGCATAGTAAAAAAAAAAAAAAAAAACATAGCCTCATTCGTTGTAAAATAAATACTTTATCAGATATCCGAATAAAACAACAATTTTTTAAATAAAAACAATTATTCGTAATCTTTTAACCTACTCAATGTAAAGAGGTAGGGATATGTTTTTTCATAATTGTTTTAAATGTTTAATTTTTTTAAATATAAATTTTATATAATACAAATAATAATGTATTTCGATAAAACAATCAACTAAACTGTTATTCTAAAGATTTTTTTTATAAAAATAAATACCGTAATACAATATAAAAAATAGTTAAATATAAAATGAATATAAAGTTTTTTATTTTATTATGTGTGATAAATTATAACACAGTAGTTAATTCTACTAATAATGATTTAATTATACGTTTTTGATAATTGCATTTGAATAGTTCCAAATCAATAGTATTATTATTATTAAATTTAAGTAACTCTAAAAATTATAAGGTTATATACTAAGTAAACATAGTGTATACCTAATATGGTGTAAAACAAACCATGATGTTTGGGAAAAAGCCGTTAAACTTCTTAAAAGCGAGAATTTTATATTTTTCCGATTTCTGAATATTTGTTTCACTAATATTTTATTCAATTAGAATTTATAAAATTATGACTTTTTCACAAAATAATAATAATTTTTTATATAATGATTCTATTTTTAATATTATTTGCTAGATTGAGTTTGGATTTACATTTGAAGAGAAACTATTTATTTTTAATACCCAATTAAATTTGTATAAAATAACATACAATACCTACACAATTAATTGTGTATAGATTAACGTGCAATATAATTGACTTGTGCTAGCTTAGGTAAAAAAGTCTCTATTGCCTGTCGGCTCCGATTTAAATAAACTCTATAGCTCACTTCTTACAATATACTATGTAATTAAATGTTGCTACGCGAAAGCTGTGGTTTCCACTGAACCACACCATGCCTTCAAAATAAAATCGTTTAACTTGTTATTTCCAAGAAAATCAAATACTAAATAGCAATTTTGACGTAACTAAGTTATCAACTTTTTGAGCGTGAGATATCAATTGGGCCCACCCCTAAAACAAAATCCTGGCTACAACAGTTGTTTTAATTAAGGTGAAATTAAGCCGAGGGTTACTGAGCTTATATTATACCAATAGATTGCTTCACATCATCATTGTCAATGACGAATAGTTGTTTTTGGGAGTTTAGAATTTTGACAGTAGCAACATATGGGTTATCTACAGATTGTATGTATCTAGGTACTAAAGTTATCTATTTTAAAATATCATAAAGTAACCTTTTTTGAAAAATAGACTTGTGTGTTATAAAATAATACGTACAAAATAATATATCTGCAACATAGCTTCATTTACAAATAATACCATACGATATTTCACGGTGTTTTGTTTATCAAAAACAACTGTTTTTTTTTTTTATCATATTTTGTTTTGTTATATTTGTGTGGGTACCTGTTTAATGTTTGAACAACAGTTCGCTTAAAGTTAAAACATAAATTTTGAAGGGAATAACAAGGAACCACTAAGTTTTGAAAACGACCAAGTTATTACAAATTCATCCGTTATAACGCAAACTGAATTTACAGTGCCTTTTGAATACAATAAAACCGATTATCTGACGCATAGATTCCTAAAATACACTAACGTTCTCTATTCCAAATTAAAGCCACTCGATATATGCTATGTTACTTTTTATTATAAAGGGAACGATGAATTAAACGTGACGTTTTTCCCTAGCACAGGAATACGACTCCCGAGTACAAGGGACTAATCCAAGACAAGAACGAACCCCCTACTCATGTTTCAATTGTTTGAAATTATTCAAAACTTATAATATTTGATTAAATTATTAATTTAATAATAAATTCTTACAGACAATGTCCAATTTACAATTTACCTAACCTAACCTAAGTCAATTAAACTACGCTAGAATATGACACATGCTAGTACAGAACTTTTCTACATTAATAACAGCTACAATGAAGCAATCATTATAAATGAAAAATAAAGTTTTGTTCTGTTCTAAACTTAACACAGATACATCAAGTTACAGGATATAAGGACTTTTGTATAATAATGGTAATATAGTTCTTTTTGATTCAATTACTGTTTATACAAAAATAAGCATTCGTTTTCCACAATGTGTGGTGTAACGTAAACAAATGAAAAATACAAGTTGTTATTAATATATACTTTTAAGTTTAAACATTATAAGAACTGTAATGTTTTACAAAAACAATCTTCATAGCTCTAAAATTATTATTTTAGAGTTTAACATTATTTTAGATAAATCTATAAATTCTGTTTGTGCTGATGTTTGTATTTTTGAAATGTATGCTTAGTACAGACCTCTTAGGCTATCAGGTTTTAAGTCGTTTTCAAACTTTTTCATAAAACCGTTTACACTGAAATCTGAATACCATATATTTATTTAAGCTGACATACTTATTGTACACGCAAATGTGTTAAATGGTTATATATTGTTAATGTTTGGTTAATAAATGCCTATATGAGCATTCATACTAATTCAATAGCAAAACAGTTTTTCGTACATTACCATATTTAGCGTTATAGCGTTAAACGTTTTGTAGAGATTGAGTAAAGTTAAAACTTCTGTTTAGTTAATAACTGTTTATTGAGTTTTGTTTTTTACAACAGCACAACAATGCACGCTGTCATACATCGGTCAATTGTGACATTTTACCTGTGTTGGAATTTGGTTAATTCCCATCCACCTGTATTTACGAACAAGGTAAAAAAAAGCAACAGTTTTTAAAAATTCCAAACCGAGTAATTTATTTTTCAACTTACTAACTACACCATTACATACATATTTGACACCCTTAATAGTAGAATAATGGCTTAGTTTTTTAATTTTAAGAGAACATCCATCAATTGTCACATTATCCCTGTGTTGAACTTAGGATAAGGCCAATTTTTTAAAATTTTCAAACGAAGTGAATTTTTTTCCTACTTATTTACAATACCATTAAATCATCTTACTTTGCGCTGAACCCACTGTAATAGCTTTTAAGAGGGAGGGGTAAAATAAAAAATAAATCACTTCTAGACAATTTAAATTTGGGGCATTGTTCAAGTAAATGGTCATCTGTTTAAAATATTCCTTGTTAAACACAATGTACAGAGTGTCTAAAAAAAAATGGTGGGGTTTAAAACCGCTGAAGGTTGTGAAGTATTCGATCTACATTGTTCTGGTAGGGCTTGAATGAAAAAGAGAGTTGTCAAGTTTCCAATGATTAGTACTCGATCTTTCACAGTCGTAACTGAATAACGCTTTGCGAACTCGATAACTTCTGTTGTACGGGTGCTATCTTAACAAACTGAACATTGAAGGCTGGCGACACAAACGGGAACGTGGAGAGACATTAAGTGACAGTCATTCGAAACTTGACAACACCTTCTTTCATTCAAGCCCTACCAGAGCGCTGTAGGTCCAATACTTCACAACCTACAGCCGTTTGGAACCTCACCATTCTTAACCCAACCATTATTTTTAAAACACCCTGTATAGCATACAAAAATTGAAATTTTCCAAAGAACAGGACGACTTTTTCATCTTCTTCTGCTCGCATTTATTACTCTTTAAGAGTTTTCGCTGCCATCACGATCTGCCTCCATTATGAATGTTATGAGTGTTATCGTTATCCACTCTAGTACTCCTAGTTTCTTAAAAATTCCTTCCATCTCTTTCTAGGCCACCCGCAAAGTCTCTTCCTTGTAATTTTCCATTTCAGTACCGCTTTAACTGTTTCTTCCTCATTTCTACGCTTTACGTGACCAATCTATTGTATTCACTGGCCACGTATAAAGCTACTGACTGGTGCTATTTCCAACTCTTCTAGCTATTAACTTTTATTGATTATTTAGGCCACTGAAATGGAAATAAACACACCGGATGGTCCGGAATATTCATATTATAAACTAATGAATTGGGCATATTTTTTTGAAATGGTTAAAATTCAAAATTGTGGTGATTTGCTTAAGTCGGCTGATGATTCTTTTCCGGTAATATTAGTATAAAATATAATTTTAAATATATAATTATAAACCGTTTTGTTTAATTTCAAGCATCAAGTTAAGAAATTATTGATGGAAAGAGAGTGGTCACCTAAGCTTGTTGACGATCTTGTTAAAAAATATAATCAAAGCAACTGGCCCCCTGGTATATCAGACGAGGAAATATGTAATGACGAAAAGGAGAGGCTTATAAAGAACTACATTTGTAGACGTATTCCGGGTTTCCTCGAAGACAATCAAGAAGAAGCAGTAATCGTATTAGCTGCTGATAACCCGCATATGCCTGCTGATACGATCGCTGAACCTGGATTTTTGATGTTTTTAAAAAAGGGAGCGTTGTATTATACTAATGATGATAAACTTAGAGGTTTAGAAAAATGCTTTGATATTGTAGAAGTTCTTAGATGGGATTTATTGATAACATCACCTGACAATTCCCTTATGGTAATTTTATAATAAAATGAAATTGTAAAAAACTAACCGTTGTTTTCATTTAAAGGAGAGCGCTCATCATCAATTGATACGGCAAAATTGGCTTCTTAGACATGTGTATTCTATTATTGGAAAAAACAGTCAAAATAACTGGCCATCTGGTATATCGGGCACACAATTACATGATGGCGAAAAGATGAGTCTCTTAAAAAATTATATTTGTAGACGTATTCCGAGTGTTCTCAGTGGCAATCAAGAAGAAGCAGTAATCGTGTTCGCTTCTGATAATATGCATATGCCTGCCGATATGATCGCTCATCCTGGATTTTTGATGGCATTTAAACAGGGAGCATTGTATTCTTTTGGTTATGATGAATTCAAAAGTGTGCCAGATACCTTAGAATCAGTACAAATTAGTAGATGGGGTTTGTTGCTAACGTCGCCTGATAATTATTTATGGGTAATTTTTGCATAAAAAACAAATTTGATTGAAAAAAATAGTAACCACTATTATCGTTTTAAGGACCGCGTTAATTCTCTATTATTTAAAAGAAAAATTCCATATCGTCTTACAAGGGCTATTTTAGAAAGATATAGTAAAACAAACTGGCCACTTGGTACATTGAGTGCAATTTTACAATATGACGAAGAAAAGAAGATGCTTTTAAATAAATATGTATGTAGGCGTATTCCGGGTGTTCTCAGCGATAATCAAGAAGAAGCAGTAATCGTGTTCGCTTCTGATAATACGCATATGCCTCTTGACATGATTGTTGAGCCAGGATTCTTGATGATGTTCAATCCGGTAATGTTATCAATCAGCAATGTTGTTGAGAATTTTTTCTATCACCTTTTTAGAAATCTAACGTTTTAATAATATAATTTATAACGTTTAAACAATTTGAAAGTTTCTTAATACTGTATATTGTATGATGTTAAGATAACTTGCAATCAAATATAAAGTAAAAACACTTTTCTATTATTTTGAATTTTTTTATGAAATCGAGGAACACTATTAATATGTTTAAAAATATGCAAATGAGTAATAAATTTGCACGGAAAATTCTTTAAAATTAGTAAATTGTTAGTAAACAATTTACGTAAAACAAAAAAATGTAATTCTTTCACCCAAAAAGAATAAGAAGTTACATACTTGACACTCTTATAAGAAGGAAACTAGTTTATTATTTTATTTATTGTTTACCAATGATTATATTAATGGTCATCTGTTTAAATTATTCCGTGGTACATTAAACACAATGCATAGTGTATTAAAATCTAATTTTATGAGAGAACATGAAGAATATATAGTATTTTTTTTTTCTTTTCTATATTGGAAATTCTCCATACACATTTTGGTTAGACCTATCAACTTCATTGAGATACCATACTCCATCCATTATACAGAATCTCCGATGCACAAAAACAGAACGACTATTTAGTATTTTTCCGTCCGTTAACTTAAAATAGATTTTTATTCAGTATTCCTTTTTGATAATTATTAACGTAAGATCGATAATTTTAGGCAATTAATATGGAAATTGACAGACCGCACTTTTCCGATTATTCAATACATGACCTAATGAAATGGGTATATTATTTTGAAAAAGTTAAAATTCAAAATTGTGGTTATTTGCTAACGTCGGCTGATGATTCTTTTACGGTAATATTAGTACAATACATCATTTTAAAAATATAAATATTAACCGTTGTTTTAATTTCAAGCATCAAGTTAAGAATGTATTGATTAAAAGAATGTGGTCAACTCAGCTTGTGGACGAACTTGTTGAAAAATATAATCTAAGTACCTGGCCATCTGGTATATCGAGCGAGGAAATATGTAATGATGAAAAGGAGAGACGTATAAAAAATTACAATTGTAGACGTATTCCGGGTTTCCTCAAAGGCAATCGAGAAGAAGCAGTAATCGTGTTAGCTGCTGATAATCTACATATGCCTGCTGATACGATCACTGAACCAGGATTTATGATGTTTTTAAATCCGGGAGCAATGTATTATAGTAATGATGATGAATTTAAATGTGCAAAAAATTGCTTTGATATAGTTGAAGTTCTTAGATGGGATTTATTGATAACATCACCTGACAATTCCCTTATGGTAATTTTATAATAAATTGAAATTATAAAAAATTAACCGTTGTTTTCGTTTAAAGGACAGCGTTGATCATCAATTGCTACGGCAAAATTGGCCCCGTAGTCATGTGGACGCAATCACTGGAAGATATAGTCAAAATAGCTGGCCATCTGGTATATCGGGCACACAACTACATGATGGCGAAAAGATAAGTCTATTAAAAAAATACATATGTAGACGTATTCCTAGTGTTCTCAGTTGTAATCAAGAAGAAGCAGTAATCGTGTTCGCTTTTGATAATACGCATATGCCTGCCGATATGATCGCTCATCCTGGATTTTTGATGGCATTCAAACCGGGAGCATTGTATTCTTTAGACTTTGATGAATTTAAAAGTGTGCCAGATACCTTGGAGCAAGTAGAAGTTCTTAGATGGGATTTGTTGATAATGTCGCCTGACAATGATTTATGGGTAATTATTGCATAAAATAACGAATTATAAAAAAAATTTAACCGTCGTTTTCGTTTAAAGGACCGCGTTGATTATCTACTGGGGAAAATAGATTTTCCATATCGACTTACGAGGGCTATTTTAGAAAGATATAATATAAATAGCTGGCCATCTGGTATATCGGGTACACAATTGCAATATACTGAAGAAAAGAAGATACTTTTAAAAAAATACATATGTAGACGTATTCCTAGTGTTCTCAGTTGTAATCAAGAAGAAGCAGTAATCGTGTTCGCTTTTGATAATACGCATATGCCTGCCGATATGATCGCTCATCCTGGATTTTTGGTGGCATTCAAACCGGGAGCATTGTATTCTTTAGACTTTGATGAATTTAAAAGTGTGCCAGATACCTTGGAGCAAGTAAAAGTTCTTAGATGGGATTTGTTGATAATGTCGCCTGACAATGATTTATGGGTAATTATTGCATAAAATAACGAATTATAAAAAAAATTTAACCGTCGTTTTCGTTTAAAGGACCGCGTTAATTATCTACTGGGGAAAATAGATTTTCCATATCGACTTACGAGGGCTATTTTAGAAAGATATAATATAAATAGCTGGCCATCTGGTATATCGGGTACACAATTGCAATATAATGAAGAAAAGAAGATACTTTTAAATAAATATATATGTAGGCGTATTCCGGGTGTTCTCAGTGATAATAAAGAAGAAGCGTTAATCGTGTTTGCTTCTGATAATACGCATATGCCTCCTGATATGATTGTTGAGCCAGGACTTTTGATGATATTCATTCCAGTAAAAATATGTTTAAGCAATGTTGTTGAGAACATTTTGCTATCACCATTTACGAGTCTTACTTTAAAATAATTTAATTTGTAATGCTTTAAATAATTTAAAAGTTTATTAATACTGTATACTATATGGTTTTATGTAATCTTCCATTAAATATAAATTAAAATCACATACATAATTTTAATATCACTATAAACAAATACTTTATCAGATATCTATATTTAAAACAACAGGTTTTTAAATAAAAACAATTATTTGTGGTATTTTAATCTACTCAATGTAAAGAGATAGGGATATGTTTTATTGTTTCAAATGTGTAAAATTAAATTATAATAATATATTCCGATAAAACACCCAACTTAATTATTATTCCAAAGATTTGTTTTATAAAAATGAATACCGTAATACAATATGTTAAATATAAAATGAATATAAAGTTTATTATTTTATGATATGTGATAAATTATAACATAGTAGTAAATTCTGCTGATAATGATGTAATTACCCTTTTTTGATAATTACATTTGAATAGTTCCAAATCAATAGTATTATTATTATTAAATTTAAGTAACTCTAAATATTATAAGGTAATATACTAAGTAAACAAAGTGTATACCTATTATGGTGTAAAACAAACCATGATGTTTGAGGCAAAAAACCGTTTAACTTCTAAAAAGCGATAATTTTATACTCCGATTTCTGAATATTTGTTTCACTAATATTTTCAGAATTTATAAAATTATGACTTTTTCACAATAATAATAATTTATTTTATAATGGTTCTATTTTGAATATTATTTGCTAAATTGAGTTTGGATTTACATCTGAACAGAAACTAATTAAGCGTCAGTTTGCAAAATTAGCTAAAAAACAATAAATATAAATTAATACAAAATATCCATTTATATGTGTATAAATAACATTATAATACCTACACAATTAAACGAGTATAGAGTAACATGCAATATAATTGACTAATGATAGCTTAGGTAAAGAAGTCTTTATTGCCTGTCGGATCCGATTTAAATAAAAACAAACAATTTTTTAGTTTTGAATCATAATTTAAAAAAAAAAATATATATCATTTCATTTGAAAATCAAAAGTTGATATCTATATTATCGATCTGGGAGGGGGGTACTGTACAATAAAATAATGGAAAATTGAGATCACTTAGAATAATAAAAATTCAAAAAAATAAAATTCAATTATTAATTAAACCCAATAAGATATTGAGGGGTTCAAGATAAGTGGATCACCCTGTATAATGTAAAGATGAAATTAAAAAGGAGGAATTTTACGAGGACCTAACGGAAATCTATAATAGTGCGCCTAGAAGTACGGTGAGGATTGTCATTGGTGAATTCAAAACTAAAATAGGGAGAGAGGTCTTGTTTATACCTACAATCGGCCTACATAACGTTCACGAGCAAAGCAATGATAATGGTCAGAGGGTAGAAGATTTCGCAAAATCAAAAATGATAACCATAAGTAGTGCATCTATCCCTCATAAAGATGTACACAAATATGAACGGACGTTTCCCGATGGCAACACTTACAACCAAATTGAGCACGTACATTAACATTGACAAAAGATTCAGATCTAGTATTTCCTACCGAAGAACGCAAGAGGTGCAAACAAGTTATATAGAGAAAAAAATGAAGTATCTGAATGACTTACTACGAAACACATAGCAAGATCACACACAAGAGTTCGATTTTTTTGTAATATTTAAAAGGTACCATAAGTTTAACTAACTAAGGAAACCATTGGATTTTATTTGATTTTTTACTACTCATACATAAAAATTGCACTTGAAATGTAATGTCAAAGATCACCTGGCATTTTTATGTACTAAAAAGGGTAAGAATGATAAACCAAAATATTATAAGTCTTCCCAAAATAAATTCATATCACAGAATTTGAATGAAAATGTAGATTAAAATGACATTATGTATAATTTTTCTGATACCTTTTTTTGTATAAGAAAACAACATAGTTCTCAAAATATATTTAAATCTTATACAATTAACCTATCAATTGAAAATACAAATTTTAGTTTTGAAATAGATACGGGGTCTAAGTACAGTGTTATATCAAAATATATATACAATTCTAACTTAAGTAATATAGTTTTATAAGACAATGATATTTCATTGTACGATTATTTAGGAAATTGGTAAATAGGTAGGTTTGACTTATTAATACTAAACACCAACGAAGTAGTTATTAATAATCAAGTAACCTAAATAAAAAACGAGAGTAAAAGAGACTTAAATTTAGATGGTGTGTTAGTTAAAGATTATACAAAAACATGTGAAAATTGGCTGAAAGATAAAATTGCTGATAATATTAGTCATAACACTCATAAAGTAGTTTTAAATGATAGTTCTGAATGGATAAGGCACAATAATCAGATATGGCCACAAGGTCAAAAAGAAAATGGGTTATCTCCCGCTTCTAATTATTCAGACACGCCTTGTGTTGACCAAACAAACTCGGATTCTTTTGAAACTAATGTACCAATAAATACTACAAGCAAAAATCTCCAAGATCCGTTAGGATTAAAAAACCTATTCAGTGCTTTTTTCCTTGTGAGTATAAATAAGTATGTTACTGTTCCACACATCACCATTGTGCATTTTCTAACAGACAGTGCTACAACCCAATACCGGAACAAAACAATATTTTATCTGACTGCCAATGCCCTTCAGCATTCAATTGACGTTTCATTATGTACCTGGAATTAAACGGAAGCGTGTCATGGAAAAGGTGTTCCAGATGGTATTGGAGGTTGCCTAAAGAGGACAGCTGATCGAGTTGTCACTCAAGGTGAAGACAATGATTGTTTTGAAAGCTTTGTAAAGGTCTTAAAAGAGAATGTCAGGAAAGTAGAAATAATTTTGGTTCATGAGCATAACATTCGACCAATGAAAAATAGTTTACCTTCAGAAATTCCTTCTTTTAAAGGTACTTTTAAAGTACATCAGGCTGTTACATAAAAGAGTACGCCAATAATTTAATAATGAGAAAACTGAAACAACTTAGATTTATCTTTTCTCAATCTTTATATTTGTGACAATTTTTTTTTGGGACACCATACTGTTTCCTAGTTAAAAATAATTAATAATAATACTAATTTATGTTCTTAAACCTTAAGTCAGTATTAAATAGCGTATAAGTTAATTCAGATAAATTTAAGATAAAATAATTCATTTAATTTGTAATCGTTAGTATTCATGTTTTTTAAATTTAAGTCATTGTTAAAATAATTTGATAAAGTAACTTTGTTATCTTGTGAATAAATGAATAAGCCCTCAAGAATTTTTGCTATATAGTTTTAAGTTACAACTGTTGTTGATGTTAATTTGTTTGACAAAATGCATATAAATGTGGTCATATGCATATTTTTTTCATTATTTCTCTTTCCCTACATCAACCCTTACGTCCTAAATTTTGAAAATTTCAATAAAATTTAAAATTTAATATCTTCAAAAATATTAATGATTATGTGTGCACACTTCATGAGGCTACAAAAGGTCTGTACAGATAAGTAATTGACAAAAAAAAAACGAAAATTCAGTTTTTATTGTTGGAAAAAAGCGAAGCTTGAAATAACCAACAAATATATATGGTGGAATTGTCCTCCATACGCGAGTGCTACACCGGCACAATTTTTAATTCGTCTAATTTTGGGTATTACAATAAACGTCAGCGAATATTATTATTTATATTAATCTAATTGTGTTTTACTTTCATACTTAAGTATAACAATGGGAATTATATAAAATACTTTATTTATATATGAAATATCATACGATATAACTATTATAGTAAAAAACGAAATATAGTAAAATAGGTCGAAATAAAAATAATATATCAAATATTGAGAAGCAGTTAACCTGCATGTGTAGATACATATTTTTTTTAAATAAAATCTAATAAAGTAAATTATCAAGGTTGACATCATGTATAAGCTACACATGTTTTCCGTTGTTGTATTGTTTGTTACAAAACAAAAGCAACTCATGTTAAGCCAACTGTAAAATAACACGTATCGAATAACACCCATAGAATCTAGAAAACAATATTATTGCACAAAGATTGAAATGAGCATTTTTTATTACCAACAAAGTATTATATACCAACTACACGTTAACGAAAATTGAATGTAAAACGTTTTGTGAAGTATAAGTGCGTCGTCTCCTGTTCAAGTGAAAATACTAAACGTTTAATAAGATTGCGCCATAAAGCTAAGAAGCCACTTTTATAGTAGAAATGTATTTGCGCCCAGTATGGCTGGTCTTAACGATTGCGATGCTTATGATTCAAAAAGGGTGTTGCTGGTTTGTATGCAAGCGTCAAATATATGCTCATAATACTTCGTTCGTACATTATAGTAAGTTGATGAAATTAGATACGGGATACTCTATCGCAGAAAAACCAAACATATCAAAAGATGAGGCTGATGAATACCCAGGAAAAGTTCGGCACGCGATAGACGAATTATACCATCAAATATTCTGTTGTTACATGTTCGACATACTTTCTTATATGGATTTACTTGGGCAGCTTTTTTCAGAAAACGGTAAAAACGAGTTGGCTGAACTAATAAAACTCAAACAGCACAAAGTTGTTTTTCTCAGCGATAATATCGTTAAAATGATGAACGTTCTGTACAATTTCGGTAGGTTGGACGATATAAGTCTCATATGGATGGTTTGTACGTTTGTGACATATTTAAGATCGATGAAGGAGAATGAAATATTAGGCAGGCGGCAAAATATTCTAAATGAACACCATACTGTTCATCAGCGACATGCGCACATACTCAAGAACCAAAAATGCAAGACGCAGAATGAGTCTTATAATGCTCAAATTGGCACATCACAGTTTTACCATCCTTTTGAATCACTCAGTTTGAATCGAAAACATAATATAGTTGACCTTATAAAAACCCTAGAAAAATCATTTGAGAATAAATACCAAAATGTTCAAAAACTCATAGAAATCGACGAAACTTGTCGTGTTTACTTTAGAACCGGTCACTTACATTTGGGTCAGGTTTTGGAATTTGAGGAAATTACGAGACGTTTGTTTGTAGACTTTGCAGAGGTACCTGAATGGGAAAGCATGTTGTCTGGTATGCGAAATGTTTTTGAAAAAGAACATTATGACTCGCTTCAGGATTTCATCGAAACCGCGGCAAAATCCCAAAGACTGTTTATGAATTTAGTAAAATTCATATTGTTGAAGAACGTTTGGAATTACCTAACATTGTATAATTTGTCGGTGCCTCCATCTGACGACAAAAAAAAACCACTCCAACTATCGCTGCCGTGGAACAATCGAGAGCATAAGGCGATAGCAGTACATATTGAAGCAGTTATTGGTTTTTTTAACTTAAAAGACGATTTCATATTGATATTCCTCAAATATCTGCTTACAATGCCAGTAAAGTTTTTCACTAATGTGCAATTCAATAAAACAGTAAAAGAACGCCTCTTCAGATATATGGATGAAATTTATTCACAAGTATTCGGTTGTGAAACAAAACTTGCAAGGCCCTCCGAACTCATCTCCACGCAATACATAATTGATCTACATACGATTATCTACATAACAGGAAGAACTGATAGTATGATAAACTTAATGCCTTCCAATGATAACCTAAAAGGATACAGTATTTATAAAAGTAATTTGAGCATTTATATGTTTTATTACATGACGGCTCACTACTATTTTCAATTGCGTTGTGAAATAGATTTTAATGTCATTCAATCGTTTAACAATTTCTCAGATGATTTTTTGGGAGGTGCAAGTTATTGAATTCTTATGTAAACTGTCGTGTGTTTTTTTGTTTATGTAAGCAATGTTTGATATTGTATTGTTTTACACTCTAAATTTATTCTAAAACTTTATTATCTATAAATCCACTCACTTGACTTTTAAATGTCGATATTTATGCATGTTAAATATGTGACTTTGAAATATAACAACTATTATGCATTTTTAGTTTTAATCCATTTACCAATATCCTTTCTATATCTGCCTATCTGCCATATATAATATGTATTCTACTGGAACGTACCTACTGTCGAAAAAGTAGTCTGATGAATAGCAAGTTATTCAGTCCAAATTAACAAATATGTATAATTAGGTTACAAGAGCAAATACAGTTGCTAGTAGTCAAACTTTACGAACCAAAACATCCATTAAAATAATCATGGGCATTAACTACATAGATAATTTGATGTATAAAGAAAAACACATTTCCCAAATTAAAATAATGGAAGAGTTATGTTTCGGAAAATTTAAAAACCAATTACGCAAAGAAGTAACTTAAATTAAACAACTATTATCAATGTTCATATCTCTAAAGCTATGCTAATAGAATGCATATACTAACAGATTACTACTACAACCTTATGTTAAGCCAAAAGAAAAAAAAACCATATTCAAACCATATTATTATGTTGCAAGAGACATAAAAAACTTCAATTTAATCAAATTGGCTCACAAACTTATATTATGTACCTATTTATTTATTAAATAGGTACATAATATTATAACATTAAGTATTTTGTTTTGATGCTTATGTCGGTACCTATTCAAATGTTTGAACTATTTTCTTGCATAGCCATAGTTGCCTGATATTTAAACAATTAGCAATTTGTATTTTTGTTTACATTTAGATACCGTGTTATTCTATTAAATTGTCCTAATGTAAACATTTATAATTATTACTTAATATTATAATTTATATTTAATTTGATAGTATAGAAAATGTAAAAAGAATACTAATTTCTTAACAGCGACAAATTAAAGAATGAAGACGAATTAAATAAATATTTTAAGACATTGGAAAGTATGTACACAATAATTAAAATATGTCCACAAAAATACAAGACATCCGTTGTCAAAAAACATTTGCTTAAGTATAATTATTGGATTTTATACACAATTTGTATTTGCTATAATATGTGTAATAACATGGTAGTTGGTACAATCTTGCACTGAATTTAAAAAATACAAAAACACCAATAATAAATCAACACATGGCGAACAAAACAACTTGTTTTCCATAAAAAAAAGTAGAACTATAAAAATTGTATTTGTAAAACCCATCCTTGCCCTTTACTTAAAAATCTAAAAAATGTACTACGCTAACAGCTATTTGTCTTTTGTCAATATTATCAGAACGCATATAACACAAGTTTTATTTAAAATTAATAATGTTAAAACCTTAATTAAAACTATTAGTGTCCTTATATAATATGTAATATGTATAGATAAAATCACTTTTAGATAAACACTTCGAAGCGTATCTGTAGATACATATAAAATCACTGTCAATAATAAATTCAGAAGTTTCAGAAGCTAAAAAATTGTTATTCTTTTCCTGTGTCTGCCGAGGAGTCTCTTTTCTTGTGATTGGCATTTGAATGTTTCTCTTAACGGTATTGTCTTCTTCATTTATCATTATGTAGCCTTATGTTCCAAACATATTATAACTATTAGGATAGTCAATTTCTAAGAAGCCCGGATTCATGAAATTTTAGCTTCGATGCAGAGCAAAAAATACACATAGCAGGCAATCCCATAGTGGAAATTAAAGGCGAAACGAAAGGAATATTGTTATTACCATAAATACAGGGGATGACAGACCGCATCTCAAGAGTTATGAACAAATTAAAAATAAAAACTATTTTTAAACCAAACATGATAGTTGGATCTCTATTCCGAAGCCCAAAAGACAAAATCCCGGAAATGTTAACACGGGGGGTGTATGAAATACCATGGTCATGCGGCAAATCGTACATTGGGCAAACACTGGAAGGGCAATAGTGGTGCGAATAAAGCAGCAAGAAAAATATGTTGATTTTAATAGGAAGTGAAAATCTGCAGTAGCCGAACACGCAGCGAATAAAGGGCATTCCATTCAGTTTGACCAAGTTAAAATACTAGATAAAGAGTGTAACTTTGGAAAAAGAATGTTCAATGAGGCTATAGAGATCGAAAAGTGCCCACATAACTTCAACAGAGAATACGGTTGGAAAATTGACCCAGATATATCGGAAAATCATTCAAGTGAAATCTATGAATTCTGTACTGTTGTTTGTGTTTTTGAAATGAATGCTTAGTATAGACCTCTTAGGCCATCAGGTTTTAAGTCGTTTTCAAACTTTTCCATAAAACCGTTTACACTGAAATCTGAATACCATATATTTATTTAAGCTGACATACTTATTATACACACGTAAATGTGTTAAACGGCTATATATTGTTACTGTTTGGTTAATAAATGCATATATGAGCATTCGTACTAGTTCAATACTAAAACAGTTTTTCGTACATTACCATATTTAGCGTTATAGCGTTAAACATTTTGTGGAGATCGAGTAAAGTTGAAACATCTGTTTAGTTAATAAGTTTTTTAATCGGTTTGGTTTTTCACTACTGCATAACAATGCACGTTGTCATACATCGGTCAATTGTGACATTTTACCTGTGTTGGAATTTGGTGAATTCCCATCCACCTGTATCTACAAACAAGGTAAAAATAAAGTAACAATTTTTAAAAACTCCAAACCGTGTGATTTGTTTGTTCTACTTATTTACTACACCGTTACATATGTATTCGACACCCTTAAAAGTAAAATAATGGCTTAGTTTTTTAATTTTAAGAGAACATCCATCAATTTTCACATTATCCCTGTGTTGAAATTAGGATAACGCCAATTTTTTTAAATTTTCAAACGAAGTGAATTTTTTTCCTACTTATTTACAATACCATTAAATCATCTTACTTTGCGCTGAACCCACTGTAATGGCTTTTAAGAGGGAGGGGTAAAATAAAAAATAAATCACTTCTAGACAATTTAAATTTGGGGCATTGTTCAAGTAAATGGTCATCTGTTTAAAATATTCCTTGTTAAACACAATGTACAGAGTGTCTCAAAAAAAAATGGTGGGGTTTAAAACAGCTGTAGTTTGTGAAGTATTCGATCTACATTGTTCTGGTAGGGCTTGAATGAAAAAGAGAGTTGTCCAGTTTTGTATTGCTGGTGGTCGTCCAGGTTTCGCATCCATAAAGTGTGCATCTCCCTGTTTCAGACATGTCTTTACATAAAATGCTTCGGACACTGTATTCTCTATTCTTACATGATACTTGGTATTCTCTATACACATTTTGGTTGGACCTAACAATTACTTTGGGATCCTAACTACATCCATTATACAGAATCGCCCGATGCACAAGAACAGGACGACTAATTAAAATATTTTTTTTTCGTCTGTTAACTTAAAATTGGTATTTACTCAGTATTTATTTTTGATAATTATATACGTACACTTATTATTTTTAGACCATTGAAATAAAAAAAGACAGACTGGACAGTTCCGATTATTCAAGACATGACCTATTGCATTGGGTATTATTTTTTGAAGGAGTTGAAATTCAAAATTGTGGTTATTTGTTAAAGTCGGCTGACGTTTCCTTTCCGGTAATTTGTTGTATAAAGTTCTTTAAAAAAAAAACAATACTTACCGTTGTTATAATTTTAAGCAACAAGTTAAGGATTTATTGATTAAAAGAATGTGGTCAACTCAGCTTGTAGACGAACTTGTTGAAAAATATAACCTGGCCATCTGGTATATCGAGCGAGGAAATATGTAATGATGAAAAGGAGAGACGTATAAAAAATTACAATTGTAGGCGTATTCCGGGTTTTCTCAAAGGCAATCGTGAAGAAGCAGTAATCGTGTTAGCTATTGATAATCCGCATATGCCTGCTGATACGATCGCTGAACCGGGATTTTTGATGTTTCTAAATCCGGGAGCATTGCACTACAATGTTGATAATCAATTTTTCGGTGTAGAAAGATGCTTCGATATAGTAGAAGTTCTTAGATGGGATTTATTGATAACATCACCTGACAATTCCCTTATGGTAATTTTTTAATAAAATAAAATTGTACAAAATTAACCGTTGTTTTCATTTGAAAGGAAAGCGCTGATCATCAATTGTTACGGAAAAGTTGGTCCCGCGGAAGTGTGGACGCTATTACTGGAAGATATAGTAAAAGTAGTTGGCCATCTGGTATTTACCACGAGGTAATATGTAATTGGGAAAATGAGAGACCTGTCAATAATGACAATTTTAGAGGTATTCTGGGGTTTCTCACTTGCAATCGAGACGCAATGGGAAGTCTATTAAAAAAATACAT